AAAAGACAAAACCCAACAGAGAATTCCCCCCTAACTGCCTTACCAAAATCTTCCTAATCTCACCTAGTCTTCATGTGGCTTGCGGCGGGTAATTACGCACTGGAACCCGGCGGATTTATGGAGCGACCTGCACGCAGGTAACACCAAGAAATCACGCGGATGTGCCCCCGAGACAGCTGTCCGAAAACAGCTGACACCAACCACGTCGCCACAACACTATGAAAAAAAACAAACAGACGGAACCCAAGGGGAAACGCCACTTAAGCCTAGCGGGGAAAATCTCTTTTACAAAAGCGTAACAAACAGCAATATCTTACCTTCTGATTGGCACACAAACCCTGATGCCATGTCACACACTAAAGCATCCTGAAACCCAAAAGACATGATGTGTCCCCCAAATAGCAGCGCAGAGCCAGCACACAGCTGGACCACAACAATGAATCAGCTGCTCAATGAGCACTACACAAACTTTTTAAATAAATAACCCGTTGGACGAGCCCCCATTTGTTGCGACCTGGCTCAAAAGGCCACAACAAAAAGGAGACACAACATGTCAACGGGTAGGTAAAGGTGTTTATTTGCACAACACTGGTCAATTCAACACATTGGTTATACTCATCAGAGCCGGGTGCCTGCAGGAAAACAGAGCGAGAGAGCAGACAGGAGCAGAGAGGCTTTAAGATAGCTGCAGAGCACCAGACCCAGGTGCCCTGAGTTACTGCAATCGGTGCAATCACTGGAGCCAATGCAGCACAGACAGAACAGCCACACCCTATCTACTGATGCACCCACAGGGGCATCACATTAATGGTTATGTACTAGACTATTTCTTGGCTGGACACAGGTATTAAGTTGAGTTGAAATTGTGTGGATAATCCAGCACTGGTCTAATCAAACAAAAATAATTGTGCTAAATAGACCCTAGAAGCAAAGTATGTGATAGTACACTGATTTACGCTGAGACGGCAGAACACAACAAAGTGGATTTGTCTTGTTACGCTTTCAGGGACAGATCGAATCACAGAAAATGTACAAATGCCCCTCTAGTGCCTCTTAAATCTATCTGGTAAGATCTTGTTCTGTCACAGTGGGATGTTTATAGACATAAGGGTTAGAAGGAAAAGGTTGCATTTGAGTGCTGTGTGTGTTGTTGTGTGGATAGATCCTCCAGCTCTGCACAGACTCAAACGTACCCAGAAGGCCTCCTGAAGCAAACTGTCAGGTGTTTTTTCTTCCCATGCTTGGAGTAAACACTTGATTTGATAAAGCCGAGTGCAGATGAAAACATGTTTTGCAGAATGTAATTGAAGGCAGCTGATATTGCAATCTGTGTTAATCGCATGGTGTGATTTTGACACGGTTTTAATGCAAACACCGTAGCTGTGCAGCACTGTTTTGCTGGTTTGTTTAATGGCTGCCTGCATGCTTCTTTGCTTCGTGCACACCTGTACAATGTCAGCTGGTGTTGTGAGTTTGAGCCCTCCCACATAAAGCCATGCAGTGTTGTGTAAAGCAGCTGGCAGATTACAGAGCAGCTCCTGGCAGATATTGTAGCAGTTTATCTGAATTTAACATCGTAAATGGGCTGTGGACAATGAAACTGTACACAAACTGCGATGATCCTCCCGTGGACCTGGCAGTCGATGATGGTCTATGAATATATCAGCGCAGAGAAGTTCTCTTTTACCATCCTTTTTTTCTTGACCAACAGACCCATTGATGATGTTTCACATTTGTAATCCTGCACTGTTTCCTGAAAACGACATCCACACGCAATGAAATGCCTCAACTAACGATGTATTATCTATGAAATACAAAATGTTGCTCCATTTATCATTTTGGTCATTAAAATGTTTCAGCCTCTCAAATATGGATCATTCCTGTGTAACTCAAAAAGTGCTTACTTTGTCAGACCAACAGTAATCCAAAGATCATTTGTTTACTAAATGAATGGATACATTCAAATGATGAAATGGAGCTAAAACATTTAGTAAATTAATAGATTCAACTCATTTGCACTAACACATATGTGGCACTAAAAGAATAGTGCTCTGGATGAAATTCACTTCAGGAATCACTGCAACAATCTATCCCACATTTAGAGGAGGATCTAAAAATCACATCCTCACTCTCTTTTACAAGAGTGCTCTCTTCCTGTTTGCAGTGTGCACCATCTGTCAGTATGTGTTATCCATCCACGTGCCAGCATACAGCAGCCCTGTATGACAAGGCCGAGAAGCCCCATGTTGAGAGGAGACAACGACTTAAATGAGAGCTAGTCACCGCATGGTCACCCCTCTTAGCCTCCGGTGACAGAATTACTCATCGCCAAGGCAGTGGTGCTGAGGCATACATGTACAGTATGACACATGATGAGAGGAAAGGGTCACAAAGTCAAAAAGTGAGATGCTTCCAGAATCGGCTGTATGCAGTCAATGGTTTCAATGAGTGGCATTCCCATCATGCCTTATTTCAACAGGGAGTGTAATGGAGCTGATCCCAGCCTATGACTTTATTTCACCTGTGTTATGGTAAACAAATCCAGTCAGTATGTTGGAGGATTAGTGTCCACATAATTCTTCGTCATCAAGTACTGTCACTTAATCGACTCAGTATTTGCTTTCATTTCAAGCTTTTTGCAAGTCTGGTGCTTTGAATTGTCCCTTTTTAAATACCTTCAACCGCTGCCTGGTTATGAAGGACTTTTTCAAAAAGGATTTTCCATGCTTGTGTGTGTTTGTTTGAACGCCTGTGTGTTTGTGTGTGTGACAGATACAAACAGTCCGAGATAAATCCTGGTGCTTATAGCTTGGAATGTTTGGGCCATAAATTGAGGGATATATATATATATATATAATATATATCATCAAGGGAATGTGCATCCGTGATGGCCAAATCGATTTAATTTAGAACTCATCAAAAGCAGCTCTTACAGTGGCAGCAAATAACAAAGATGCACAGAAGGGAGGGCGGTTCAATGAGCCTTGGCCACTGCACTTGCACTTCTGCTTTATTCATGGTCTTTGAACGGAGCATTTGACAGCGCAAATGTTTCATTCTTTTTGTGTCAAGTATAATTATTTATATTCAGATCTTCGCAGGAAGTATTAGCAATGTCTTAGACATCAATATATTTGCCTAAATCCAGAGAAATACCTCCTTACATGAGGTCTGCTTAATAGCTGTGAATTGACAGTGACTCTGCAGAATTCTTGTGCTATGTTGGATTTTTTAGAATGCACCAGATGAGTAAAAAAATTCAGGAGTTTGGTGTTGTATTGGTCTGAATGACTCACCTATAGTGCCAGGATTTCCTAGGAATAAAAAAATGTCCTTGGTTTAACATGGTCTTTATATTCTACTTTATTATTGCCGGATCGCAGTGAAGTAACGATGAAGTTACGCAGTTGTTGGTTTTGGTTATGCATTCAATATGCACCCCCACATATAAGAAACATAGGAATGCAGTTACATCTAAATGCAAATACAAGAGCAGTAGGGAAGCAGGAGAACATTAAATAGCTGAAATCAGGCAGAAGTGCTGCTGGGCCTATTATTGGGGTATGCACAAAATCACTATATGAACCTCCTACTGTTAGCTGGGATTAGTCTAGAAAATAATTTCCCATTTTAGATGGTCACTGTTACAAAATAACTAATCAAATACCAATAAATTACTGCCTCGAGACATGGCAGACATGTATGATGCCGACCAATTAACCACAACTGTCGTGAAGTACGCAGGTGATCGGAAAAGATAATGTAACCATATTCGCTGTTTGACCTGACGCCACCAACAAAGAATGTTCCCCGTTCACTTTGCCATGTTAACATTTGTGCAGAAACACACACTCCGTTCCAACTAAAATGCAGCCTTAAGGAGCAGTATAGAAAATTGAACAGACCAATCGACTGTCTTAAATGATCAACCACTGTAAAAATAATTATACATCAATCCTCAATTTGTCATCTCTAACAGCAATAATTCCATGCAACGATACATTGAATAATACTATCAAACTTGTATTTTCGTCTCTAACAAACATTGGAGAACATTTGCAATGATCACCAGGACCTTTGAAGGTTCCTTTCCCATCAGCCTCCTTCATCAGAGTAATCATCTTTATCTCCTTCATCACCTTCCAAACCTTGGTCATGTTGGGGCACCCAGTCTGCCATTTTACATTATGAGTTCCGTGCCGGGGGGCAATCCCCTACTATGCAGAGAATCAGAGGGAAGTGAAGGTGAGGAAGATGGAAAGGGACGGCTCCTGCCTGCTCGTCTCTGGGGGAAGAGGAGGAGTAATCTCCGGCTCTGATTATCTTCTCATTACAATCAGACGGGAGCCACTCGAAGAAGAGGAGAATGTGTAATTACGCTCAAATCTCCCATGACCAAAACAGAGGATAATAGGCAGGGCTAGAACTGTGTGCTCACATCTAATCATTCAGTTTATTTAGTCATTTGTTCTGCAGCCAAATTTGACTATGGATGAACATTTTGAACACCTGACTTAAAGCAGCATTGTTCGGAAGTCAGAAATGATATACCTTGTTTTAAAAATTGCTTAAACCTTTTATTTTGTATGCCTGCTTTAAAATAGACTGCTAACTAAAATTGTATAGCTCTGGTTTATCAGAAAAACATTTGAAAGAGAACTTCAACCATACCAATAACTATGCATCTCATGTCACTACATCTGCCCAGCACAAGATAGAAAACACCCTTTACCAAAATGCAGGTTAACTGAAGCATGTAAATAACATTTCAATTGACACCTCGATTTGAATGGGAAATGGCTGCCCTCCAATTTCCCCAGAGAATGGCTGGCAGGGAGAAATGGAGGGGAATAAAATGCTTATCCAGTAGACCAGAGTGAATAAGGCTAACCAAGCATGCCACAATCGTCCTCACTTTTGTATGATAGAGGCTTTAAGAAAAGTTCTCATGCAAAGGCAGGAGAGCAAACAGTAATTCAATTTTTTTCCTTGCCTCACAGCTTGGAGACAGCCGCCTGCCAGCCGCTCAAGACTGATGAGAGGAAAGTTGTGGACACCAGGGTGGACAGCGCGGACAGAAATGGCTGCATCAAAGGGAAAGGACGCAAACACCACAGTCATCGCAGGGCCCGGAGGTGAGTGAGAATCAATGATTTCAAAAAAGCACTTGAATACCATCAAGGAAGTTCTTCTGATCTTGAAAGTCATCCCTTGAAGTTGTAGGATTGTTGATCATAATGAAACATTTCAGATGATGAATGGTTTGTGATGTTATTAGTTTTGTGGTTGATGCTTTTGTAGATATTGGTACCGATGATAAAGCAGTACACCAAAAACTCCTTGAGGGCTCGACTCTCGGTGAGAAAAACAGAGCTAATCTCTGTATTCTGGTTCGGGGAAAGTAAACAGTGTTATCAGCCCTGGCCCAGTGGAGAAATACAAACATGTTGTGAGGAATCCCACACTGTGTCATTCAGAACCTTTCTTTTCACCAGCACCTTAAACCAAAAGTCTCCTTCACACACTGAGAATAGTTTTCAGGCTTTTTTATTCTGAGGTGGGAAAAATCGATTAAGGCATTTTTGTCCTTTAAAAAGAAACCTCTCAATTAATCTGACACCTTCAAAGCCTTTGCAGTTACACACCAGGGGAGCAGACAGCGATATGTAAAACACAACGGAAGCCACATTGGAGGTGTTAGAGAGGATCATAAACATGAATCACTTCTCTTCGGATGAACTTTACCCAGCGGCTGCTTCTCTTTGTTTTTGAATTAGACAGCGAGTGCAGAGAACATGCAGCCAATGCGGCTTGTGATAATCATTTTTCTAGTTTGTGCGTGCAAGAAGAAACATCTGATAGAAGGAGCGCACTGAGAAAGATGTATGGTGTTTGTTATCCTTGAAATAGAGCCTTTTTCTGCGATTTGAAGTTGCACTGGAGCACTTCAGCTTTAAGTAGCAGTGAGTTGTTTTAACTTCACTGAGGAATCACAAGACATGTCTTAAGGAAAGTAGACCTGGTGACATCATTATCACCCGCCCAGCCAATGTTTTCCTATGGAAGGATATCAAGAGCATATCATAATCATTTTAGTTACAAAAACATTCATTTAAATAGTTATTACACAGATAAAATACCCTGCTTTTTTTGTACACTTTCCCATAAGCTTAATAAATATGTATCTATAATGAGGTTTAAAAGTGTTTTAGTCTTTTCAGAGTTTCAGCCTAGGCACTGTGCCCAACTATGTTGTGATGTTTAGTCTGATGTATCTTAGTTGAGTGATTTCTTATATTTCACCCTGAGGCCACAAAAATCCCGCATTGTTTTGGGGCCTCTTCTCTTTAACGTCTACATGCTACCACTGGCTCAGATAATGAAGAACAATAAAATAAGTTACCATAGCTATGCAGATGACACACAAATTTATGTAACAATTTCACCAGGAGACTATGCTCCAATTCAAACACTGAGTAAGTGCATTGAACAAATCAATGACTGGATGTGTCAGAACTTTCTCCAATTAAACAAAGATAAAACTGAGGTAATGGTTTTTGGAACCAAGTCAGAACGTATAAAAGTTAGCGCTGAGCTTCAGTCTGCAATGTTCAAAACAACAGATAAAGCCAGAAATCTAGGTGTAGTCATGGACTCTGACCTGAGTTTCAACAGTCACATTAAAACAGTTACTAAATCAGCCTACTATCACCTAAAGAACATATCTAGGATTAAAAGACTGATGTCACAGCAGGATTTGGAAAAACTTGTCCATGCTTTTATCTTCAGTAGACTCGACTACTGTAATGGTGTCTTCACAGGTCTCACTAAAAAATCTATTAGGAAGCTGCAGCTAATTCAGAACGCTGCTGCTCGAGTCCTCACTAACACTAAGAAAGTGGATCACATCACTCCAGTTCTGAAGTCTTTACACTGGCTTCCTGTGTGTCAAAGAATAGATTTCAAAATACTGCTGCTGGTTTATAAAGCACTGAATGGTTTAGGCCCAAAATACATTTCTGACCTCCTGCTAAATTATGAACCATCCAGATCTCTCAGGTCTTCAGGGACTGGTCAGCTTTCTGTCCCCAGAGTCAGAACTAAACATGGTAAAGCAGCGTTCAGTTATTATGCTCCAAATATCTGGAACAAACTCCCAGAAACCTGCCGGTCCGCTGCAACTCTGAATACTTTTAAATCCAGGCTGAAGACTTTTCTTTTTGTCGCTGCTTTTAATTGAACTATTCATATCTTAGACTGCACTGTAACTTTTATCCATGTATTTTTTCTTTTAATGTTTATTTTATTATCTTTGCTTTTTAATGATTGATTTTAAATGCCATTTTCTTAATGTCTTTCATTTTTTGTAAAGCACTTTGAATTGCCTTGTGTTGAAAAGTGCTATATAAATAAACTTGCCTTGCCTTGCCTTACATGTGACAAAAAAATGAATCAGAGAAAAAAGATCTTCTTTCACATTTTGAGAATAAACTTGAACTTTCAGTCTAAGTGCCTTTTTTAGTAGATATAAATCAGAGGATGAATATTTTCTATGTTATTTGTTTGAAAATATGGTCAAAATAAGAAAAGGATAAAGTTATAATATTGAAAATAAAGTTGAAATGCTAAGAATAAACTTGACATTTCAAGATTAAAGTTAGAAAAAAGTCAAGCTACAGCATTGGTGCATATACTGAGTAGTTAAAAACGTTTTTTAACTCATGCCTTATCTGATATTATATAATATGATAGTAGTATACTGGATACATGTACAACTGCAATTGCTGAAGGAGCTGCATTTTTTATGCATGATTTTTTATTGTCGGTTTGAAGGCACCCTAAAAATTGTTAACATTCAGCTGGTTGATTTTTATAATAGTCATTATCACAAAAATAATTATATGTATTTATAAAAGCACAACACATTCATTATAACAGAAGATGTCCTATTCAAAAAGGTCATCTTACAATAAAACAGTGAATATGTGTTATGTCTGTGATACTTGTTATGAAAAACCTTTCAATAACATGTGAAATTTAAAGCAGAGACATTGTTGGCAGGGCTGTAGTAGAAGGCTGTTTCAGAGCCAAGGAGCCAACACAGCTTTCATCACACTTGGTTATTAACCTTGACTCTGGAATAGATAAATATCCAAAAATGCAGACCTCAGGGTCATGCTGAGCCTTGATTTTAAATATTATCACTTTAAAAGGAATTCTAAAACAGATTTTAGAGAATTGGGACTATACTGTTATAAATCCTCCAACTTCAATATTTTCTGACAATCACTACTTATCTAAATGGTGAACTTTGTCTATGGGATTGTCATCAAGAGCAATGGAAGGTTATTCAGTTACTGACAGGATCAAGCTTCTACAGCTACACAGAGGCATCTCTGGCTATAAACACATCATTAATTAATCAAAAATGACCAAGAACGAAATAAATTGTTTGTGTTTATTCATCTCCGTCTGGTAAAAAGTGGCTAATGAGGTGGATACACTTCCAAAGTCTTTGTCTCATTTACAAAGCACTGCAACTGCCTGTGAAAACTCTCCTCTGTTGAGAAAGACATTTGTTCTTTGAATTGTTATCTTGCTAATTGGCCAGAAGCCACCTTATTCAGCAGAACAACCAATGTTAATTATAACATGAAACAGAACCAACTGACAGCAGCTCCCTTATAGACACTATAAATTAGCTACAGTGTTTCAGAAAGCACGTGTTACCAACACATCTTTTAATAGAACAAGTGACACTGAAATTAACCATTTGCATTTAATTCTGTTCCCAGAAAAGGTTTTATTCCTCGACAACCCCACTAGAAACATAAGAAATTCAATATCCAAATGTACAATATATGGGCTTTGAGTGATGTATTTTTTTCTATAACAGCATATCTAAGATGCAGTTACAATTACAGTACATGTGCATGATAGCGACCCCGGGAAAAAGCAACATGTTTTCAGGAAAATAGACTGCATTGAGCATATTCTCATCAGGTGTCCCCTAAATCTCTTTTTTCCATACGCCATTGTTTTGCGCAATCACCATTCCCAGTGTAGCCAGCAATTGACTATTCTCTCATTGTCCCTTTCATTCTCTCCACCTCATCAAAAAGAAACTGCTTCTGCTGGCAAGAACAAATGCAAATGCTTTCCTTGTGCTCTCTTCCTACAAGGCCAGAATGGTAGAAGTGTTAATGAGTGACAAAGTGTTCACATTACCAGGAGAGGGTACGTGGGCTTGGTCGGTCTAATCAGCCCTAATGCATTTCAGTTCCAAACTGCCGACTACAAGCAGGGCCATTTATTATAGAGAGACAGTCTTCTACATCCAATGGAACAGGCAGATAGTCTCCAGAGCTCTGTAGTCGCATACATCAAGCTGGGGTGCAGTTTGTCCCTGTCCGGACCACTTCTGATCACACTCACCTGTAACTGTGACCTGCTGTTGGTTCGATGCAAAAGTCAAGTATTAAGAAAGTGCTTGAAGGGGCCCTGTCATGCTGATTTTTAGGTTTCGTTATTGTTTAGTGCCTTTACCGTGACATGTTTCCATGCTCAAAAAGTTCAAAAAGGTCTTTATCCATCTCATACTGCCTGTGCTGCAGCACCTCTTTTCACCCTCTGTCTGAAACCAGAGCCCAGTCAGCCGCGCGGCTCTGTTGTGATTGGTCAACCGCTTAGAGATGTCCCGCCCCTTAGCCTATTACGTACAATGTGTTGGAGCGCTAGTCAATAGAAGTGTTACATAGTGATGTCACTATGTAAAGGGAAGTAAACCAAGGACTACACACAGGGCGTTTCAGGCAGGGGCGGAGTGTGTGGGAGGGAAACTTCCTCTGGAGGGAACTTTTGTTTTTCAGTGGAGAAGAAAACAACTAGCACTTGTATGTCACGAAGGAATCGATAAAAAACTTGATTGATTGCCACTCCTGCGTGTCCTTGAATTCAGCTGAAGCTTCACCTTCCCCACGTCCTTGAGTCACGGTGGATGGCGGCAGATGTTTCTCGAGGAGGAGTCTGCTGCTTGTGTTCATTTGTCTAGCGCAAGGCTCTTTGTAAACACTTAATCTAAATGGCCCCAGAAACAACTGAGCCAATGAGAGCCATGCTACACTGCATACAGCAA